TGTTGAAACAAAACCGGGAAAAAATTCTGTTGAAGGGGAAAAAAAGGGAGAGAGACCAAAGTTGTTGAGGGGAAAAAAAAAGAAAAAGAAAAAAAGCACTCCAAGGACTTATTAAGCAAAATAAAATAAAATAAAACAGCATGTCCCCTTTAAGAATGAGTGCAGGGATAGGAACAGGGAAGCGGTTGAGCACTAAGACCCAGGGGAAGCATTGCTTCCCCAATGTCTTTTGGCTGGCAGCCATTTTGTGCCAGCAGCCTTGGGGAACCAGGAAAGCATGGGGGCTGAGGTCGGGGGCCTAGGGGTGTTGACGCCAGGAGAGGGTTCGGGGGCAGAGGCCAGGTGCTGAGTGTCTGTAGGGTTGCCAGGTGCCCGGCATTTTCGCCTCCTGGCCGGTGAAAAAATCAGAAAATACCGGACATCTCAGGTGTCTAGTATTCTCTGAATTTTTTTACCGGACAAGAGGCGAAAATACCAGATTGTCCGGGTGAATACCGGACACCTGGCAACCCTGTAAATATATAGCTTTCTACAGAATTTTTTAAAATTGAAAGAAAAAATACAAGTGTACAAAAAAGAAAAAACATATATAAAAAATCCCAGGGATAAATATGCCTTCAGAAGCTGTGATTTTTCAAGAACATGATTTAACCAATAAAATAATGTATAAGTTTCCATTCAGGTAGCCCTAGAAGTCTGCTACGGCACTGAGACCTTGCAATTGATCAGAGCAGCTTTTAAAACTGTCTTAGGTCATCACAGGATAGTCTTACAGGGGAGAGTCTATACAGCTCTAGGTCAGACTTTTTGAATTACAATATCTATATTTATTACTCCCTATCCTCCACTTCTGATGATCCTTACTGTGTTGATGGCAAGCTATATTGGCTACGTTATTTGATGGGAGTAATGAGATCCGCTCAGAGGGTAGAGTAATATCACATGCAAAAGAATACAAATTGAGACTCTTAATTTTATGGCTAGCCCATTTCATTTGTTGTATGTTTGTTTCTAACTCAGCTAATATTTATATTACTTGTAACCAATATAAATTCTACAGTATAGAATCCTTATTAAATTAGATGAATATAAAAGCTTTTCATGGCATTTCTCCTCTCCTCCCCCTTCTCTTCCTCTCCCCTCCCCCCTGGCCTGAACTGACTATTAGTTTTTTAACAAACAGTTTAAGTGGACAAACCAATGGAAAACAGATCTTTAAAGGGGCTAAAACAAGTTCATAAATGTTGTAAGTTAGTGCTTGATAGGGATGTTCTCTATGCAATTAATGTTTCCTGTGACATAGGGACAACCAGCATATCCTGAATCTTTGAGTAGTTCAAATGGATTTATACTAGCATTAGTTCTACAGTGTCATTGGCCATCTTACCCCATATCTGAACATTTCCTGCTCTCTCAAGTAAGAGCAAAAGTTTTCAAAGGATGGAATGGTGCTATGAGGCTCTCTACGTAATGTTCTCCAAGATATAAATTAAAGCAGACTAGAACAAGGCAATTAGGCTCTTTATTTTAAGAGTCATAATTTCCTCATGGAGTAGAGACACACAGAATTTATTCTGATCTACATTGGCTGCTAAAACGTGTTCAGCATACGGCCAGCTAACATGATTTGTAGCGACCATGCTCAGCATAGTACACTGTGTCAAGAATCATGATAGATGACATAACGATGGAGGGCAGTCTGGACTAGTCTCCAATTCTTGAAAAGCATGCACAAATATGGGGATAAATTGTAGCATGGAGGAGGCCTAAGTATGGGGAGGCTACAAATTTCTCTACAGACTAAGTGAGTGGGAACATTCACCCTCTGCACATTCAATGGATGTGAATGACAGCACCCCTCTGTTGACAGGGCAGTTATTGTGTGCGTGTAAAGCAGAGGATTGGAGGAGGAAGCACAGTCCAGGAGACGCGTAGCAGCTTCGGAATTGCTCCCCATCTTGCAGCTATTAACACTTCAATAGCGGAGTGGATCTTGTAGGAGGCTGTGTAGTATGGGAAGCTAGTAGCATAAGGAAGAGAGTCTCTCAAGTGCACTTTTGGTGGGAAGAAGTTAATACTATTAACAGCCTTGTCTGTGCTAAAGTACAAATGGATTTGTAATCAGTTCATGACACTCTGATCTGACTGGGTTGCCATGAATACTATGGAGATGTGTCCAGGAAGCAGCTTAATTTTCAAAACCAAATTTGTCTGTTAACCATGTGTGCGTGTCTACAGCATGTGCCATAGCAGCAGGGCAGTCCTTCAACATAAGGGGCTTGCTCTCCAGCGGCACTTCTTCACTGCAATAATTAGTTTGAATGAGGTTAACTTGAACTTGAGTGTACTACAGGTTGAACATCTCTAGTCCGGCACCCTCGGGACTGACCAGTGCTAAACCAGAACCATCAGAGGTCAATATGTGCCGAACCATTGGGGTCAATATTATCTAGCAGCATTACCAACACTTCCACCACTTACTGGGCTCTTAGAAGAAATGTAAGGGTAAGTTAGAGCTAAAGAACAGCATAAAACACTGAGAGCCAGGATTGGTGGCTGTAAACAAATTTTATGAGACCACAGGAAACTTGACCACACCCATGATAAGTGAACATCTGGTTAACTAAAATCATGCCAGAACATGGATGTTGCCAGACCAGAGAGGTTCAACCTGAACCTTAAATAATAGAAACAATCCTGTGAAAGAACCCTTGAGCCACTGAGTATTAAGTAGCAGCCCACAGCCACTGTATTGGCAGCTGATGTGTTTCCGTGACTTGAGCTTCTGCATCCCTACTGCATTTCTTGCTCCAGCCTAATGTCAAGAGTACTGGAGCTTCAGCCTTCCTGCCCAGAGGCTGCTCTGGGCATAGGCAAGCTAGGCAGCTGCCTAGGGAGCAGCAGTGAAAGTAACTTAAAATTTCTTACTGGTACTGTCCTATTGTAACCCAGGTTCCTGCCAGCTCTTTAAATAGCTACCTGCTGGCTTTTGCTGCAGCTCAGCCAGATCTTGCTGGAGTTGTGCACCAAGACACACCTGCTTGCTTTCATCTGTGCTGGGGAGGCAGATTTCTTAGGGCCACAGATGCTGGTAACTCCCATTGGGTTGGCAGAGGATAAGGATGGTGGTACGCCTGGGAGAAAGGGTGTCAACCAGCTGGAGGTGCAAGGAGCAGAAAGTGGCCTCCCGCTGAAGTGCCAGGGAAGTGTTCCCTTCTGCTTCTCAGCCACTCCCTGACTGCACCACAAGTGAGTTCATGGCTGTGGCTAAGGCACTGTGCAGCTAGGACTGCTCCTGCTGGCACCGTAGGTGCTGCTGTTGCTTCAGCTCCATGTTGGCACCCAGCCCACACCACCTAGGGTTACCAGGTGTTCAGTTTTGAACCAGACAGTCCAGTATTTGAGCTTTCTGTTCGGGAAACAAATTGAGAAAATATAAATGTCCGGTATTTTCTAAATAAGATGTAATGTAGATTGAGATATGATGTCAAGCATGTCTGGTATTTTTGTTGAAACCATCTGGCAACCCTACCACCACCTGCTCTCTGCATTACACTTGCTGCCTGTGCAGCCCTGCCCCGAACTTTCCTCTCAGAGCTATAGCATAGGGCAGTCACAGGGCACGGGGCAGAGTTGTAGCCAAGTGGGGTGCTATGGGCTAAGTGGGGTGTGTGGCATGTGAGGAACTGGATTGTATGTAGGGGCTGAACAGGGAGTTTGGGGAACTGGGCTGGCCACATGGGCAACATTGGAGAGTACAGAGGATGGGGGGAAAGGGATGTTTGAGCTGAGTGTTCCAGAAGAAGAGTTGCAGAAGGGGATTGGCCAATGGGTGTCTGTCATGCCATTAAAATACCAAGTCTTGACATAGCTGTTTCCCTCTGTTTTTCTCATTTGTGCCTTGTTTTTACCTCTTTTTAGTTGTAGATTTTTTTTAACTGACCCTCCTCATTCAGTAGCTCAGATCTCCCTCCATATTCTCCCACAAGGCTAGATAGTGATTTGATGAGTGCCACTAGAGGAAAGCAACCTTGTGGTGGCATGTTGCTGCCTGAGCATAGACCCATGAATGGGGGGGAAGGAGGTGGGGGAGATTGGTTATTCAGAGGCCCAGAGCTCCTGACTGCCACAGCTGCTACCTCAGCTTCGGTGGTGCTAAGGGGTGGCTGAGGCCCTACCCCTGGAGGGAGGCACAGAGCCACCCTCCACATATTGCTTGGGGTCCTGCAGAAGCTGTTGGCTCCAATGCCTAAGCCTGAAGATTAGTACATGAGCCTGCTCCTATAGTCACAGCAGGTAAGTGCCTTCCAATTTAGGAGCCCTCAGCCATTTCACCTGCAGGCAGAGTGTGCTATTCCCACTCATACTAGTCTCTTCTTTGGATCATCAGAAATATTTGGGGTCAGGAAGGAACATTCCCAGGTCAGACTGGCAGAGACCCTGGAGAGGGAGGGGTTGGTCTTCCTCTGCAGCCTGGGTCACTTCAGGTTTAAATTAGTGTAAATGGTGGCTTCTCAGATATAGCCCGGCTGCCCCTCTTTTATACTGGCTTGGTGGAGGGGCAGCCGGGCTATATCTGACTGGACCCATTGCACAATGGGGGTGCTGAGAAGCACTGCACAAAACTGTAAGCCCTGTATAGACTGAATTCACTTCTAGCCAGGGAGTGCAGGAGCACCCCAAGCTCCTTTTCCTAGGAATGCCTGGACGTGATATTGCAACCTCTGTGCTGGGGTGCAAGGCCGCTCACTCATACCTGGCCTGCCCACCACTCTACCACGGCTGTCCTAGTCCCTGGCTCCCGCCCTCTCCTGCCTTGCCAGAGGGCCCAGAAAGCGCGAGGCCAAAGGCCGCGTCTGCATTGGCCACGTGGGCCCTGCTCCGCGCAGCAGCCCGTGCGCTCTCCCTGCCGGGCAGGGCGGGACACAGGGCAGGGCGCCCTCGGCGCGACTGGGCGGGGACTGACTGGCCGGGCGGCGCAGCCCCCGTCCCTCCTCCCCGCCCGGCCGGGCCAGGGGAGGCTCAGATTCAAGGAGGAGACGGAGCCGAGCGCTGCCGGAAGCGTCTAAGCGACAGCAGTGGCGCTAGCCCGGGGGAGCCCGCAATGCCCTGGAGGGACTGTGTGAGCAGCTGACAGCACCTCAGAAGCGCTGCTGTACCCGCCGCCCGCTTTGCTCCGCGGCCGGGCCAGACTCAAGGGGGCCGGCTCCTGCGAGAACAAACTTCCCCTGGGAGGAGAGGGGAACGCGCTTTCCTGGCTGCACGTTCCCCTCTGCTCCCCCCCAAGCCTGCTCTCTGCTCAGCCTCGCCTGCCCTCTCCGCCCCTTGGCAGCGGGGCTGCTGCTGCCATGGGGCTGCCCACTCTGGAGTTCAGCGATTCCTACTTGGACAGCCCGGATTTCAGAGAGCGTCTGCAGTGTCACGAGATTGAGCTGGAGAGGACCAACAAGTTCATCAAGGAGCTGATCAAGGACGGCAGCCTGCTCATCGGGGCCCTCCGGAGTGAGTAGGGGGCAGTGCGAGCCCTGAGAAGGGGGAAAGTGGGAAAGCCAGGGCATATCTGGGGCGGGGAGAGACTGGGGTGTGTGTGAGAGAGAGACGCTTCTTTTGTTTGAATGGGTGGAGGGAAAGGGCTCCCCGGCTGGCAGGCAACGAAAGGGCTCCCCTGCTGGCAGCCAAGACAGAAAGTTTGCTAAAGTTTTTGTCCCCCACCTCCTTATCTTCAGGGAGGTAGATCAAAAAATGCGGGTGAGACTTTCAGTCTCGCTTGTCACTTTTTATGTCTTTTTGCACAGGTGTGTTTTAGGACCAGGTGATAATTGGAGATTTCAGACTCAGCTCATTCCCGATTAATTCAAAGTGCTTTAAGAGCAGAAAGGCACTTTAGATAACCATTGGATTCCTTTAAAGCTGCATCTGTGTGCAGCACTTAAAACATGCATGGGTAAGGCTGCTATGTGGGAAATGTTCCCAGCAAGTAAGGGGACTATGTCCAGCTTGGGCTTGTGGGGATCAAAATTTAGGTGGTGTGATAGATGAGAGTTCATAATGATTTTTTCAGTAATTGCATTCATCAGTAGGTAACGGGTATTTTGAAGTGGTGGTTCTAAACAGCAATGGACATTTTTTTATATTAAATGGCCAAATTAGCAAATTGAATATTTTGTACTATTTCTGGTTTTGTTGGTATATTTCTTAATGGATGCTTGTTTATTAAATGTAATCTGTATAGTTTTTTTACTTCAACATAGCTATTTTAGGAAGATAGTGAAGGAAGTAGTCAACTAAATAGTTTAATATGCCAGTTTCCTTGAAGTTCTGTGGGTACTTTGAGTGCTGAAGGGTGCTCTGGATGGGATCTGGGAAATGGGCCTCTTGCTAGAGCTGAGTCTGAAGAATGTAAAATGAACATTAAAGATTATTTCTGATGTTATTGCTTCAAGTTTGCATCCTCCCAGCCATTGTCATCCACTTCTTATCATTTAGTCAGACCCCATGATCCCTTTTGCCTGTTGATCAGAGACATATTTAGTCAGAGAAATTACTTAACCAGAGTAGGTGATGTCATACAGTTTTTTCTCTTAAATGTCACATCTCCATCATGATGCACTAAGTCTTCACATACATTTTTTCTCAAAATGGTTATTTAATATTAATAAAAGCAAGTAATAGCAGTATCACTGAATCTAGCAAGCTGTGAGCAGGTGTTATAAGAAGCTTCCTATACACTGTTTCTAGCGAGATGACATTTTGCTTCATTGCCCAAAGCAGGATTTTAACTTTCAAGTATTGTAGGTGGGCAACAGGGTTATTGACAGTTTCTGTTGCTCATTATAGGTATAATATAGGTAAGATATTTGTATTTATATAAATAAAACAATCAGAAGCTTTGGTTATATGTACAGATACACCTAAATACTGCACACACATCTACTTCTGGGATTAGTTTGTATCTAAACCCTTAATTTTATGCATGTACAGCTGAGCTAAATTTACAGCCACACTTAATGCCTGAAATGCATATCCTCAAATGCTCTATCTTCATTTATGTAGAAGAATGTGCAGGTATATATAGCCAGGAACTTGGATGCTACAGATTAGCTAAAGCTTATTTTGTTAGTTTATAGATTAACTTTAGATTTGGCCTGTGTTTAAAAGAGGAAATTTCAAAGAAATAAATCACCAGTCATAAGTTTCATAGACTCTAAAAGTGAGAGAGAGCAAAGGTTGTATTACTTCTTGTCAGCATATCATTTTTTTCTCTATATATGGCTTTGACACAGCTAGGTAAATAAAAGTATATGAAGTAGTAAACCTGGCAAAACCAAACTGGCCCCGATCCTGTGTGATGTTGATACAACTTTCTGTATCAGTGGGTGTTTAGTGAATTTCTGAACCAGGTTAATTTGTGTTCACATCTGGAATTGCCAGGTGTTTTCCTACTTATTTTAGGGATGTTAAAAAGCAGTTAATTAGGCAACTGAAAATCTTAGTGGTTATACAGTTTGCTCTGCATGGGGAGTAGCTTGTTGTTCCCTAGGAGCTTGTGTGCATTGGAAGTCTGCTTTTAAGCCGGCTCCGGGCACATACTGGCTCCCGCCTTCTGCCCAGCTCCTGAGGAGCCAGCTGCTAGCCCATGCCTCTGCTTCCATAGCAGCAGTTACTGTATTAGAGGCAGCAGCAAGGTTCAACATCCGGCTTACTTGTAGCCTTTGCATTCATGCACCAGCTCCCGCTGCCACTCCAGGCTTCTGATACAGTGTAACCGCTGATAAAAAGGCTTTTAAGCTGGCTCCTGGCCCCACTCCCAGGAAGCTGGCTGCCACCCCATGCTGCAGGCTCTGATACAGAGCAAGTAGTGCGGGGTGACAGCTGGCTTCCTGGGAGTGGAGCTGGGAGCTGTCATGTAACTGTTGTTATTCATGGTTCTCGGTTAACCATTTAAACAGTTACATTATTACATCCCTAGCTTGTTTGAAACTAAATAAAATGTGAAGAAGAAATTTCTCCTTATCTGGATGATCTAATGAGGGCAGAAGTGGATGGTGTTATTTAGATACATAAATGTTTGCAAGAGGCCAAAATTAGTGTTTTAAACTTCACATACGTTAGTAGTCGCACAAGTTCAGTGCTTGCAGGATTGACATGTTACACACACATTTTCAGCCACTTTGCTAGTCTCTGAGGGGGAAAATACAAGATTAAAATTTATATCTGTTCCACAAGTCTTAATTAGCTTAAGAGCCTTATTTAAGAATTTTTCTTGTTTGACATCACTTAGTCATGGTACATATACTTTCCGGAAGTGCTCCTTGCTGTAGCATTGCTGAGTCCTCCATAACTGAGATATTTTATCTTCTCGAAAGAATTACCACTCTCCTCCTGGTTCTCATTCAAATAGCTTGCTGTTGTTGACCAGGTGGAGATATTGGACTCCAGGAGAGTAGTGCCAGGATAACTTAAAACAAAAGTTGACTTAGAAAGTGTCTGTGTTCATCACTGACTTGGGGGGAGAGGGGCAAAATTTGTCATAGTACCCCTGTGTGGATTTTCATATAATGGAGAGCTTGCAAAAGCATTACTATTACTCTGACAAATACCAGTTTACAAGAACTGAAATTCTCATGTGGAAGGAATATTTCTTTAGAGGTCTTTTGGCTTGGTTATATGCATTAACTATTTTGTCTTAGCTTTTAAAATCAAAGCAATGTTTTGCAAGGCTGTTTTGTACAAGTTGAAAAAATGTAATCAAACAGCTGAGTAAATAAATTATTGTAATGATGGACTCTTGTTTTGGTCTTCAAGCCCTAACAGTTTGTTATGCAATTTTGGAGAAATTTTCATTTACTTTGCTCCATGGTTTCTTTGCTGAACTAGTTCAGGTTGGACCTTGCTGATTCAGCACCCTAGGGACCTGACAGATCCCGAATGAGGGGATTTGCTGGACCAGGGAAGGTCCTTCACCTTGTGACCGTGTTGCGATTAGTCTAGGGCTCCAGCCTGCCCCCATTGCTGCCTAAGTCCACCGGGGCTCTCACCAGCCCCGCTACTGCTGGGGCCGGAGCTCCACAGCGAGACCCGCGCAGCTGGGGCAGAGCTCTGCAGCCGCCTGGCTCGGCAGCTGGGGCTGGAGCTCCGCGGACCAGGCCAGAGCTCCCTGGTTGCCACTGGGACTGGAGTTTCCCAGCCACTGAGCCAGAAAGCAGCCAGAGCTCTAGGGATGGGTTTGGAAGCACCCTGGCTGCCGCTGGGGTTGGAGCACCGTGGCCAGGGCCAGAGCTCCACGGCCACTGCCAGGCTACAGCTCTTCAGCTGCTGGGGCCAGGGAGCTCGGCTGGGGCCAGAACTCCCTCCCATGCCACCCGTCCTCTGCACCCCCCTCCCCAACTCTGGGCTCCGGGCTGAGTCGCCGGTGGGCTTATGGCGATCCTGCCCTCCCACCAGACCTCCTGCTTCCTGGGCTTTGTGGTCCAGGAACATCTGTGGTCCATGCCAGACCACGGATGTTGCTGGACAAGGGAGTCCTGGGTAAGGGAGGTACAACCTGTATTAATATTCTCTGATATTTAGATATTTTCTAAGAAATTGCTTACAAGTAGAACTATATGAAACTCAGAAACTTTGGATTTCCAGAGTTTCAATGAATGTTTATGTACCTCTTCTTTGCTTTTTGTTTTAATCTTTTAAAATTATGTAGATTGCATGTGGATCTGTATGTTGCCTTGCTGTTGTTTAATAGGGTCCTTTCTGGGAAGGAAGAAAAATGAATACTCAATGCACAGCCTACTGAAGTGTATGGGAATCTTTTCATAGACTTCACAGGGTTTTAGGGTAGGTCCTTCCTTAACAATATGCAGGAGACACAGCACTTCTTAAATTGAAAAGAATAGAAATACATCATCCTTTTTCTTATTTTCCAGTTATCTAAATCCTAGGTGTTGCTTGTAAGTCTAGATATACAATTTTCACGTGGAAATAAAATTTTGAAGTTAAGTCCTTTCCCATGATTAAAATGTCATAGAATGATCACTTACTAGTATAAACTGTAAAAACATAGTCTTAGAAAATCTCTGGTAGGATGCCTGTATAATGTTAAAGGTGGGAAGAATGAGTTTAGCTTTTAATGAATGTTTTGTGTAATCATGGAGTGCTCTGAGGCTGACTTAAGTTAACATTTCTTACTACAGCCATCAACACGGCTGTGTTCTCTGTCATTTTGAAAAGTGCTGATTTCCCAAGTAATGCAAAGGTCCCTAATATTCTAGTATATGAGGTCTGGAAAATCTGTTTGGGTGCATTTACACTGCACCTGTAGGTTGAAATAAGATATGCAAATTGAGCTATGCAAATTGCGTATCTTATTTTGATCTAATTTTGAAATAACTTATTTCCAAATTTGGCACTGTCTACACAGCACCAAATTTTGAAATGAACTGCTATTCCGAAATGTCCCTTAACCCTCATGGAATGCGAGTTCCAGGGATATTGGAATAGCGAGTCCC